TACGGTCGTGTTGCTGACCAACGAATCGTGATTTACTCTCGTGCGCCACTGCCAACGCAGCGTCACGACGTTTTGTTTCGGGGACCCCGAGAGGGTGCTTCACTCGCGGCACTCGCACGCACGAGGCGCCCGCTCGCTGGCCCGGGCCGATGACCGAGGGGAGCTTCCCGCTCTCACCCCGGCTCCTAAATCTTCTCGCCGGGACAAACAAAAGAGCTTCCTGTCTCCGTACGAAACGGCGCCGCGATTCTTCTCGGACACGGTCACGCGATCGTGGCGCGGCCATACGTGGACATTCCACATTCCTGCGGTCGGAACTAAAACAGGTTCTCATCTGCGCACGCTTCTTCAGCTTTTCATCCATTCCCGTCTGCCAACGTTCATTTTTTGTTGTGATCCATCTGCCACGGCAGCTGATGTGCACCGGTTAAAGATTTTAACCTTCGGGCACATTGCGTCTTGTCGTTGCTTTTCATGATTCAATTCTGCTTCCCATGTCTTTATCTGCCACCTCTCATAATTTACAATGGCTTCTCGAAATCAAATGTTTTCCTCCTGTACATAGCATCAATGCAGCTGTGTTGTGTTCGAATAAAATAGGTCTGAGGCTCTTTTCTGAATGAACACCAGAATTTACTGAATTCTGGTGTTAATTCGCGGACGACATAGATCCGATAGGAGAAAGCTGCGTCGCACCGCAGGAAAGTGTTCATACGCTGAATAAGTTGGGACAGGATGCAGGACTTAGGATTAAAGCGGAAAAGATAAAGACGATGGTGTTCGTAAGGGAGGGCATTGAGAAAGAAGTGATGATAGAAAGCAGCACTATTGTGAATATAAATGAATACTTGGGAAGTCTACTGACATGGGACAACGACTGAACGAAATACAAAAGAGTGAGGACCACAGAGGCAAAAGGAGTGTTAGCAGGATTCAATAACGTAAGACCAAATTGAACATCTCAAGAATGTGCGTGTTAAGTACAACTTTGTATGCATGCGAGACTTGGACGTTAAAAAAATACTGACAGTGATAACATTCGTCAGTTTAACACGTAGGCTGTCGCGACTAATAAAATCCATAATATAGGGGGAGGGTTTTGTGTTAGATTACTAATTACATTACTAATTGGCTGTGTGCCAGGTTTAACGACACATTTATATTTACGCGATCTAACCCCCACCCCCCCCCCAAAAAAAAAAACAACCTATAGAGATGAGTTATTGGCACTCGAAATGCATCGCTACAGAAGGATCCTGCCGCATCTAAGCTGGACCCAAAGAGTGTCCAACGTAGAAGTAATAAAAAGGTTGCACACAGAAGTAGACGACCTGATGATGCAGGCAGCGATGAGAATGAAAGTGACACTATTTGGACACACGTGCAGTAGCGTGGCCAACAACAGGACGATTACAAGTGTTGTTGTTGTTTGGGGAAAAATGGAAGGAACCGGACAGAGAGGAAAACCTACCAGGTAATGGCTTGACGACATCAGAGATTGGTGCCAGAAAGATGTGGCACTACTTGAGCATATCGGCACGAGACAATGGAAAGTGGAAACGAATTGACGGAATGGGCACCTAACAGGGCTCTCTGCCCATGGAGATCGCGATGATGACTGAATCACGGCAGAGATCTTCGCTCCCGCTGCTGCCCTCCAGCGATGCACAGGTCACAAACAAAAAAAGACACCGTCAATAACTCCGCACTAAAAGTAAAACACAACAGGCGACGTTTCGGGTAATGGCGTTTGAAGGCTGCGTTATTGAGTTTTTTGTTATTTGTAGAGTAGGTCCCCTATAAAATATGTATATTTATATAGGCGTGTGTTTACCGTAAATGTCCTTGTAATAATACTCATTATGTATTTGACTTGACTCCACCGTGAAGGTGGAGCGCTCTTTAACAATACGACTACTCAACTGACATCCTGGATGGACATCCTTGCAAAACCGGTTGTTCCCTCCCAAAAATGGTTGTCTTCGTGAATTATTGGTAAGCAATAAAAACAGACACAACGAATCCAGCAAAGCAAACGGTGGTTTTTGGGGGCTTTAAACAAACGCGATTCTGTCGAAGGACAAACTTGGTTCACGAATCGCTGGGAAGTCAATCTGTGCTGCAGGCTTTATAGCTGTGGCTGCATGTTTCCCGTCATCATGTACTGCGTATTGATTCGCCGGATAGGTTCTGTGTGACTGAGGCTGTTTCCACGTTTTACGGTGCTGCTGCTGCTGCTGTGGCGTTTCGTCTGAAAAATAAGAATAGGTTTTACACTTTTCTCGCAATAGAACAGGAGGTGCTAAGATGTTAAAACACCAAATAAGAAACCTTTTGCAAGGAACGAAGTCAGCATTAATCACACACAGTACTTGTGATGATCGTGCAAACAAACATGCTCTGATAATATTTGCATTGTCTTTCAAACTGATTGGCCTACACAAGAGACTGCCTTCTTTATACTGGTAGCAACCTCCTGGTTACACCACCAGCCCGCAGGGGATTATTGTGTCCGTCCGTCCGTCGTCCATCCAAGAATGGGAGGGGTGGGGCTGTGTGGAGAGGGGAGGGTGGGGAGGGGCTGGGTGGGGTGGGGAGGGGCTGGGTGAGGAGGGGCTGGTCACCCCGTGGTGCCCTTATAAAACTCAACGTTTAACCTACTCACGCCGGCTTGTGCCCGCCCTCACAGTCGGGCATATTTGCGGAATACACCACGCCGCCGTTGACCCTGGCCATTGACCGAGCAACCCAACGTTCCTACCAGCTCGCTCCGCAGGGATGTGTTTATCTATCAGAGCTTGTTTGTTTTCATGTTCAACGCAAGTTCTGTGTAGTTAATGCAGACACGATTCCTTGCAAACGGTATCTATTTGGTGTTTGAACATCTTAACACCGAATACTCTTTGGTTTCTTTCGGTAAAGTCACGTAGATAGAAAAATAGCTATATAGATCACGACGCTTTGATAGCAACACAAGCCATCGTCTTTTTAACACCTGTTTTATTGACATAAAAGGGTAAAACCTATTCTTATTTTTAATACTTTGATGCTGGCCAAAAAGGTCCCATGATATAGGAGGGGGTTTCGTCTGTTCGCAAGTTATATCCATCGGTGTCGCGTTGTCTAGAATTAAGTCTGTATAATGGGGCCGTCCATAAATGACGTCAGACATTTGTGACGATGTGTGACGAGGGGGGGGGGGGGGTTTGAGAAATGTGACGTCACATAAAAATGCGCAACTTTAAATAAATATAAACAACACGTTCTACTTAATGAAATAGACTTTTTAATAAATGTTTCTCCTACAACATCAGAGTGCAGCGCCACATTAAATACGCACTACAATGACAATAGTTTAAAGCGATTTGAAGCATGTTTTATTTTCAAAATGGAAACATGGTTTTGCGGGCGGAGGGGAGGGGGCAGAGCTTTGTGACGTCATATTTGAGGGGGGGGTCTGACTTTTGTGACGCCGTGTGACGAGGAGAGAGGGGGGGATCAAAAATCATCCAAAATCGCGTGACGTCATTTATGGACGGCCCCCTACGCGATGTAAAAACGCCTTCGTTGCTCCTGAAGCACCGCACGCGGTCGCCTGTTTGAGCTGCTCGTGACGTCACTTGTGTCAGCACCAGGACACACACGAAGAAAAGACAAGGACGGCCCCTTACCCGCCAGGGTAGACTTCTTTACCCCAACGCTACTCTCCCAATGCTTTCTGACAGTCGTCTCCTTAAATCACCCCCCCACCCCCCACCACTTGCAGAAAAGAGAGCTTCTTAGCTTCGTGGGTCCAACCCCGGCCTAAACAAAAAATAACAAATTAACGACGATAGGCTGACGGAAAAAAACCCGATTCATTTGTACGCGTAGAGAGACGGACCGTAATTCGTTTTGTTTTTGTTTCAATTTCATTCCCGAACAAATCTCCGCCAGGGTATCCGTGTTACAATTAAAATACAACACTGAATTTGTTTACTCATAGTTGTACGGGGTAACCTCTGGTGGTGAGGATGATGACGACGATGATGGTTTCCACCCATGTATTCACGTGTTCACATGTAAGCGTACATACGTGTTTACATGCTGCACGCGTACTTACACAGACTTACTACACACGATTCTACGCTCGCACTACTTACGCGTGTACATTATAAACACAATTCTCTATATACATACACACACTGTACTTGCATCTACGGTATAAATACTATACGTACAAAAGACGAGAAATTACCCGTGCACATACACGTACGCATATCGGTAGGTACAGCGTCGTGGCCTTTCATTCAAATAATATCAACAGGGGGGAAATGAGTGTTGGAGTAAACACTGCTGCGGACTCGGAAAACCGGGCCTCCGGGGCATCATGCGGTGGCTTGTTAAGGGCTGCAGTGGCGGCTCTGGAAATTAAAAAAAAAATGGCTCGTCGTGTTATTTTGGTTTCCGACCCCTGGTCGTGGAAGTCCAGATTCACCATGGGACTCCAGTTCACCATGGGGGTCCAGTTCACCATGGGGGTCCAGTTCACCATGGGACTCCAGTTCACCATGGGGTCCAGTTCACCATGGGAGTCCAGTTCACCATGTGACTCCAGTTCACCATGGGGGTCCAGTTCACCATGGGACTCCAGTTTACCATGGAACTCCAGTTCACCATGGGAGTCCAGTTCACCATGGGAGTCCAGTTCACCATGGGAGTCCAGTTCACCATGGGGGTCCAGTTCACCATGTGACTCCAGTTCACCATGGGGGTCCAGTTCACCATGGGACTCCAGTTCACCATGGGAGTCCAGTTCACCATGGGGGTCCAGTTCACCATGGGAGTCCAGTTCACCATGGGACTCCAGTTCACCATGGGAGTCCAGTTCACCATGGGACTCCAGTTCACCATGGGGTCCAGTTCACCATGTGACTCCAGTTCACCATGGGGGTCCAGTTCACCATGGGACTCCAGTTTACCATGGAACTCCAGTTCACCATGGGAGTCCAGTTCACCATGGGAGTCCAGTTCACCATGGGAGTCCAGTTCACCATGGGGGTCCAGTTCACCATGGGGGTCCAGTTCTTGTTGTTTTGGTTGCCGACCCCTGGTCTAGCGTAACTGACAGTGATGCACAAATAACTTAACACGTTCGGCACTAACATTCGTTAATAACACCGTGGGCCTTAACGGAAAAGTAGAGCATAGAGTTGGGAACTCTTTTCCACTCTACCTCTCTGATGTATCTGCATGTTAAGAAGGACCATTGCCCGAAACGTCTCCTATTATGTAATTTTTCATCGGAAGGCCACAGTGTTACTGGCGATTATCGAAGGCGGATGGAGATCACATATTTCAAATAAAAGAGGACAGAGCAGGCGGGCTGGAGTGCTTTTTAGAGAGCTGGCGATGAATCAATCAACATCATGCGCTGCGACATATTGCACATTAAAAAAGACACGCGCAGAGAAGTGGCAGACGCGTGCCTCTCCCCCTTCGCGTGTTTATTTAGCAGAGCGAGGCGCGCGTGGAGAGGCGCCTGTGACCTGGAAAAAAGGAAATGGAATCCCAGCGTGGCGCTTTTCCTTCAACTCTACCGGCAATCACCTCGCATCAATCCTCCCACCCCCACTCAGATGAGTGGCAGGAGGAGGATGAGGTGCCATTGACCTTATCCCCCACCCCATCCCTCATGTAATGCGGGTGGCGTTGTTATCTGCGAGTTATGAACACGCCCCGGGCTTGTTCCGTATTGGCGACGGCCAGTCCGGCGTCACCGATTGTGTTTATTGGCGTGCGTACGCTCACAACCCTTCGCGAAGGAGAGACTCGGCTATTCGGGCGTGCGTCGTCCGTCGACTGGCCCCTTGTGTATGCGTGCGTACCGGGATGAGCGGTGAATTGTGACATTCAATTCGGGGAGAGTTTCGCAATGACCCTGCGGGTGGAACACTGCCAAAGGCATTGGTGACCAATTCTGAAGAGGGCGCAAAGAAGCGTGGAGAGATGCATGCTGGGTATTTCAATGAGAGATGCATGCTGGGTATTACAATGAGAGATGCATGCTGGGTATTACAATGAGAGATGCATGCTGGAATTAGCATGAGAGATGTATGCTGGGTATTACAATGAGAGCCAGTGAGAGGAACGCATGGATCAAAGACCAAGCACAAATGACAAACACCATATCGACTGCTATAATAAAAAAGTAAGCAGGCTTGGTCAGGGCACGTCATGGCTAGAGGGTATGATGGTGATGGACGAGACTGATGGTCGAACGGCAGCCAAACGACTGAGCTCGCCAGAGAGGTTGATCCTTGCGAAGATGGAGCGATGAGTTCAGTTGATTTTGAGGAGGGAGATGGATTTTTGCATCGTAGGACCCGTGCGGGGTTACGACGGAACGGAGAAAGCCTTCATCCAGCAGTGGAGATATCTCGGGATCTGAAAGGTATTCTGTTGAGCCGTATAGATTGTAGAAGTAAGTTCTGTTAGCGAGCACCTATTGAGGCAGGCTAAGCGCACGGGGGTGCGGTGTTGGTAAATACTGCACACGCCTGCATGGGGCACCTTTGTCTCTCTAGTGCAGGGGCAGGGGAACCTTGTTTCTGCCGAGGGCCATTTGGATATTTATAACACCATTCGCGGGCCATATAAATTAGCCTGTTAAATTTGGTCAAACATTAAATTAACTCACCCCTAATGTGATGGCTGGAACTGTTTCTCTTTGGTGAGGCGTGTGATGATGTTAGCTGGTATTGATTATTCTGCTACTCGCAACTGCTTTTCCAGGTTTGCTCCTAGATTTATTGAATTTCGAGTCCCGCCTGCGGTTGCCTTGGCAGGGCCAGACCCAAATGATTTCGCGGTCCTTATACGACCCGCGGGCCGGACGTTCCCCACCCCTGCTCTAGTGCTAGTGTTGAACACACTGCAAGCAATTCCTAACTCTACTCTTGAGTCGACCTAGAGGAGCAGCAAGCCAAGTACTCTCACCAACTGCTAGTGGGTATCGTGCATCACGACCAGAAGGAGTAGGTAGCTCGTGCTGCTGCTCATAATTGACGTGCAGCAAATAACTGTGCTACTCCCTCAGTTGCCGCCTCAACCGTTATTACTGCTGCTGCTGTAGATTACGATGCTGTTCCTGTTTATGCTGCTGCTGATTATATTATTGCTTTTATAGACATTGCTGTTCATGTGGCACCATCTGCAGCTGCTGCTTTTGCAAATGACAAAGCTGCTGCTGTACCTGCTGCTGCGGCAGTTTACAATGCCGCCCCAGCATCCCCAACTGCCAATGCTTCTGCTGATGATGGGATTGTTGTTGCTGCTGCTGCTCTTGCTGCTGTTGCTGATTATAATTTGGATCCTGCTGCTTCTGCTGCTGATGCTGCTGCTGATGACGTTGCTCCGTGTGTTCCCGCTGAGGATGATGGTTGGGATCACGCTGCTGCTGCTGATCCAGCGACTGCTGCTCGCCACGCCGAACCGACACGAGGCCCCTCTCAGCCCCCGTGTCCGCGAGCGCTTTGCGGAGTCCTGGCGCGGCGCGGGAGACCTTCCCCGGGGTCTCCCTCCCTAGGCACGGCCTCGGGCAGCGGCCGCACAGGCGGCGCACGAAGCGACGGATGCGCACGAAGAACGAATGGCGCCCCAGCAGGTACATCCAGGGGTCCAGGATGGGGTTGAAGGCGTGCAGCCGCAGAGCGTTTAGGTCCCGGTTGTAGTCCGACTTCGAGGTCACGGCGTTGACGATCGCACGGACCTGCGAGGAGGATAGGGTGCAGGGCACGGCGGATCCCGTGAGCTCGGGGAAACAGCGCGGGTGTGTCCGCTGCGCAAATCCTCTGTGCTGCCCGTTACCCTCGGATGTTGAGCTGCAGTAGGCTGACGCTCATCTGGCCAGGTGAGCGCGGTCGGCAAACCGAAATAACAAAAAGGGCCATTTTGATTTAAAGCTTTCGTGACTGCAGGGATTCATATTCTTGGTTCTTTCGGTAAAGTCACCACGTAGAAGGGAAACAATAAAAGAATAAAAATATAAAACAATAAAATTATCACGACGTTTCGACTGCAACACAAGTAACCTGACGATGATGGCTTGTGTTGCAGTCGAAACATCGTGAGAATTTAATTGTTTTATATTTTTATTATTTTATTGTTTCCCTTCTACGTGACTTTACCGAAAGAACCAAGAATATAAAAAGGGCCATTTTAAATAAAGAAATATATAACTTGGTAATAACACTCAATACTTCAGGAGCCGCAATGCACGTGAGTCCAAGACGTTGGGTCCTTAATAAGTAACGGTCACGCAGCAGTCCTTTAAGAGCCGCATTCGGCTCCGGAGTAGCGGGGTTTGCCGACCCCTGGATCAGGTGGTGCGGCGACAAAAGCGCTTGACTTACAAAAGAAGGGCAGCCGGAGTGGGCGTCCCATATTTCATTTAGCCACTTTATTATATTTTTTTGGTAAAAACGCATAAACGGTTATTGTCACGGTTGCTTAAGTATACAGTATATATGTAATAATGTAAAAACAAGAATCTTAGGTGTGGCACTGTCTCCACGTTATTCCGCGAATTACTGTTTCGTCTTTAACACGGCCGCGACTTTACTTGAAATGTTCCTTGATAAAAAAAAACTTTGCCTGCTACATTGGCTGACGGGCCACAGAAAATATTCATCACATTCACCGCGCCGTGTATGTATGTTGAATTTCTTTCGCACCGTACGTGGCCGGCCAACCGTGCTAATCGGAGGTGCCAGGCTAGGTGAACTTTGATGCCACGTGGAGTTGTCGAAGGCCCGCTGGCAGGAGGTCACTTGGACAAACCGAGGTGTCACGGGTTGACTGAGATGACTGACAGATGCACCACCTGTGCCCCCCCCCACTGTACCGACTTGCTGCGTTTTATCCATCAGGCGTCCCGCTCGTTGTTGTGAGCGTCGCTCCTCTGCCCTCCGTTGTGGAGGTCGACTGCCTCTAGATGCCCACTAGCGTCTTTCACGAGCCTCCTCTACGGAGGCCGATCTTGAGCACAGGTGGTGCTATTTGGAGGTGCGGGGGAAGGGCTGCAAACTAAACACAAAAACAGAAGTTCTAAACAAATGAGTTTTCAATCTTGACGGAAAGTTGAAATCTTAGATTGAAAACTCATTTCTTTGGAACTTCGTTGTGTTTGGTTTGTGTGGTGGTGCCGCCTAGCGGACACGGCGCGGTGTTTCATTTTTAATGTACAACGCGACCAGGGGTGCTGGAGGGCAAAGTAGCCTTGACCAGCGTCAGGGCACTCAGGAGCAATGCAGTTTCATTCACGCTGGGTGTTTGGCGCTGATAAAGTTGCCTCGTCCGTACCGGCTTGTCTACACCACCACCAGTGACGTGCATCTGTCACGGCACTCACGTAAGGACCCCATTTTCATCGGAAGGAACCAGCGATATTTTATTGGCACTGGTGGCGAGCTGTGGGAGCTGGTTTTGAAAAGAAAGAATCAACAATAACCAACATTTAGACTGATGAAAGGGCTGCACACACGTGTACAAAGATCCCCCGTATAAACTTACCATACTTGTTGGGCAAATGCTGTTCGCGAGCACCTATGAAGGCCGGCACGGTACGCAGAGGCGTGGGTGGCCAGTACCATACCCGGCCGCCTTTGTCTCCCCAATGGCGATATTTACACACCACAACCAGGTACTCATTTGATTTAGGGGAGGCCCCGGACCGTTTCAGATAATCGTCACCGGTGTTGGCCGTAAGCGGGAATCGAACTCTGGTGGCCGGGTTCGTAGCGCAGCGTACACACACACGCACACACGTGTACACACGCGTACACACACGCACACACACAGATACACAGATGAGCGGTGGTGTGAGATGTTATCTCCCTCGCCTGGTATATAGCAGGTTTGTGTCTCTCCCCGTGGTCGCGTGTATTTTGTTCCGGGCCCTCCGGTTATTTCCTCCACATTTCGAAACGTGCTTTTACAGTATTCGGCTGCTATTAATTTCCACATAAGCCACTTCGCTGAGCTATCATTTGTGGCCAGGTCGCTTCTGAAAAGGAGCTACATAGCTCGGTGGGCTTTACGGAGGTAAAATGAAGCGAGAAAAAAAAGGAGAAAGACAATTTCAATTAAATTTCAGTACTGCTGTTTTGAAATTGGGTCCATCTTTTTGAAACACCCTGTAGTTTGAAGTGCAAGCGGGTACCGTGAGCGGCGTGGTGCATACGAGCGACACGAGGGTGATGGACACGAGCAGAGTGAGATTGTCCTCCTCCTGCCGGTGCTGCCGGCGCCTCTCGCGAGCCCCTGCCGCGCCGCCGGGCCCTGCCGCTTGGAGGACCCTCTTGCGCCTGATCATGCGGCCCAGGGTGACCATGACGCACGCGTTGCACACCACGGTGACGAGCGTCAGCGTGGCCATGACGGACGCGTACGCGAGCGGGAACGCGGCGCCAGAGACGCCGTCGCGGCCGCCACGAGGCCGCATGTCCACGTAGCACCACGTGCCCGGCTCGTAGACCACGGCGTCGGCGATGCCCAAGGGAGGAGCGGCGCCCAGGAGCGCGGCGCCCGCGAAGATGAGGCCGAGGGTGACGCGCAGCACGACGTCGCGATGCGCGCTGCCCGCGTACGCGAACGGCGCGCTGATGCAGAGGACGCGCTCCACGGCCATCGCGCACACGATGCCCTGCGTGGCGGCGCCGAAGAAGAGCATGCACGCGGCCATGGACGTGCAAAGCCCCGCGCCGCCCAGCGCGGGCACCGTGAGGTTGCGGCCGTAGGCGGTGATCGCCACGGGGCTCGTGAGGCAGGTGCCCAGCAGGTCCGTGACGGTGAGAGCCAGCACCAGGGTGTAGAAGGCACCCAGCTCACGGCCGTTGCCGCCGCTGCCGCCGCCGCCGCTGCTGTTGCTGATGGTGGTGGGGGAAGGTGGTGGTTGATCAGTGGGTGGTGGTGGTGGTTTTAAACATTAAAATGTCACCTGGATAAACCATGAGATGGAACATTTCGTTTGCAAGGGGTCGTGTCCATTGCAAGGTGCTGTCGATTGACCACGTGCATAGCAAAGCACGTAAACACATGTATGCAAATCTGTAACTTACACGGTATGCATTTATACAATGAACAATCATGTATTACAACAAAAATAATAATGATGGTGGTGTTGGAAGTGGTGGTCAGGTGATTTTGTTAATTCGTGGAGGAAGTGGTGATGTAATTGTTACAGCGACGGTATTGGTGGTGATGGCGATGCAGGTTGTGATGATGGTCACAGGGGGAAGGTGACTATGATAATGGAGGTTGGTGGTCATTGTGATGATGATGATGGTGATAATAATATCAGAAGTGATGGTGGTGGCCAGCGTCAGGTTAAAATAAAAAAACACAACCGAAGAAATGAATATCGTTGTCGCTGCAACTCCCGTGCCTTGTGTCCCGGCCGGTCCGGCGGGTCAACGCACAGTCCATTCCACATTCCTCTGACGCGCGTGAACGTATCCAGTTGTACAACCACCGGTTGTCACTTTACAACCCAGCAGCAAGGCGGTAACCAATTTGGAATGATCCCGGAGGTGTGATGATCCCGGGATTTGAATCCGAAGCAATCGCAGGCCCAAACACACGATCTCGCTTTATTGCTGATCAGTTTAACAAGTTGCAGTAGTAGTAGGAGGAGGCTTTTGCGACCAAATATTAACCATAATAGAGGTTTTGGGGGGCTAGATCGCCTAAATATAAATGTGTCGTTAAACCCGCCACCACTTGACACGGCCAATTAGTAAGGGTTGTCACGTAAACAAAACATGCCAAGTAGTCACTAGTACAGCACACCGGTGTGTTGGAGAGTAAACCCACGACATTTACAATTGGAGTACGACGTTTCGCCAGTTATTACAACCAGCATCGTCAGGCGACGGCCAGATTTGTGGAGAAATCCTCCTGTTTCAATCTTTAATATTGCCAATACTTTCCCCATGCGACCGCCGGTTGCGTGGGTCGCGGCCCCCACAGTCCCACGTGCACGTGATACCTCACGTACTCGATCGACTTGCGCGCCACGTGCTGTTGATCGTTATGGCTATGCTCATGAGCAACGCGACTGGGGACGTTATTTCCGAGTCCCAAGTCATTGTTACAGTTTCTGTTTTCCTTTGGAATGTTTTTTTTGGCCAATCCCCTTTGAATATACAGCTAGGAGAGGAGGTGTCTTGCTGCCTGTCGGGAGGAAGCCGGAGAAGACCCACCGCGCTTACGAGGGGATAGCGCCGAACAGATCCGCTTGCTGTACTGTCGTCCGCGCGCCAAACTCGCAGCCCTGCGCATGTCTTGCAGCACGGCATATCTCCACCTCCGATTTTATCACGGTGGACTACGTACGGCGCGAAAGAAGTTCAACATACATACAAAAAGGGTCCCGTAGATCAATTTTACAGACTGACTGAAGCACAACAGGCTTGACCAAGTCTTGCTGCAAAGATGCGCCGAGCAACCATTCCGAACCAAGGTGTTGGAGTCGTGCCTTGGAGGTGGCCCACTCGGTCCACCGGCAATCTAAACAGAGCTGTGGTTCATAAGCGCGCCCCAAACACCACCGCCACGTGTCAGCCACGCGTTCCCAACCCGTCCCACTCGGCGCGCTCATCACTCACCCGAAGGCGGCCCTGAAGGTGCCGCTCGTGCCGGTTCTGCCGCCCCTGCTGCTGCAGCTGATGCAGGAGCGGCCCGCGGTGCGAATCAGCATGGCCAGCGCGAGGAGGTTGCCGAGGAGACCCACGGAGAACATGACCGCGCACGTGCGCACCGTGTGCATGGGAAGGATGTGAGTGCTGTTCCGCTCGAACACCATGGTGCGTTGAGACGCAAGCCTCGCAGTCAGACTCGTGATAGCCTCTCTGTCTCTCTCTCTCTCTCTCCGTCTCTCTGTTCCTCTCCGCGTCTTTCGGTGTCCCAAATAAACGCGCGCGAGCCCGCCCGCCCGCTCGCGCGGCTGGCCGTCCGTGTTGTTTCTCCGTTGGAAGCGGCGGCGCTTTGAGAAGTGACAGCGGCGAGTCACGACGCGTCGCGGCTCAGCCGGGCACGGGCGGAGCCGCCCGGGTTATCGCGGAGAGAGGCGCGTTTCATATCGACCAGCAGCTGCATTCAGACGCAGTATAACGCGTAGCTGAAGTCGTATAGAACGCGTGTCAAACGCGAATGCGCAGCTCCCCCTGTTTGAACAGCTCACCAGGCGACAGCAGCAGCAGCGACGACACGGACGGTGCCAGACGGTTCCGCGCCACATGGATTGAATTTTACGCACGAGGAGAGACGCTGATGGAGGCGGGCGGGGGTGGTCTGGGGAGGGGGCGTGCAGATCGGTCCAGTGCGTCGCTCTGGTTCTCTAAATCCCGTGGGAAGGTGCAGGATCCAGCGGGAATCTGTTAAATCCCAGCATCGCCGAGGGATAGATCTGCTCTTTCCGCCACAGCGCTCTCGTCTATTGCTCTACTCGCTCTCTCGCCCCCTGTCTCCCACATTGTCACCCCCGCCCCTTTTCCCGTAGCCCAGAGAGTGCGGAACCGAATTTGGTTGTGAGTAATCCGGCCCGGGATTTGGAAACCGCCACACATTTCCATTGCGTCTCAGCCGTCCACTCCGCCGGACGTGGGGAACTAGCAGTGCGTGTGTGTGATTATGCGTGTGTGTGATTATGCGTGTGTATGCGTGAGTGTGCGGTAGTGTGGCGGTTAGTGCGCCGCGCTATGAACCCGGCGACCCGGGTTCGATTACCGCTCACGGTCAACACCAGTGACGATTATCTGAACCGGTCCTGGGCCTCCCCTAGGTCGACTTTGCCTCAAATGAGTACCTGGTGCGGTGTGTAAACATCGCCACTGGGGAGACAAAGGCGGTCGGGCGTGGTCCTGGCCACCCACCCCCTCGTGTGCCGTTCCGGCCTTTATAGGTGCTCGCTAACAGCACTTGCCCCAACAGTCTGTTAAGGTCTTTGTGAGTCTGTGCGTGTGCAAATTTTTAACTTATAATCAGGTTATAACCCGCTGAGATCAAAAGCTTAATTGTTGAAGAGTAGACCTCTGGACCGAAATAAAGTACAGCCGTAGAGAGCACTTACAGCTATAGAGATAACGTATGTAAGATGTTAAATGTATTTCGCACCGTACGCAGCCAACCGTGCCGATCGAAATTGCGGGGGAAGGACAACAAACGAAACACAAAGAGCAGTTCTAAAGAAATTAGTTTTTTTCTAAATATTGCCATATAGATCAAGTGCAGACATAGTGATCACGTACAGTCATAGAGATCAATTACAGCTACAGGTAGCAAGTGTAGCGGTGGAGGACAGACATAAATCGTAGCACGAGTATGAGGAGGAGGAGCGGTCACAGCTCGTCAGCGTCACCTGAAACGTATTGCGGGACCCCGGGGTCCCGAAAAAACGAAAGTCAAAATCGAAATTTATTTATGTATTTCTTTTTGGCGACTGCGTCCCACCGCGCAGATAAACGCCGCGACCCGCCTGGCGCAGATCGTTCTGTCGCTGCCGTGTCGGCCAAGCAGCAGCGAGGACGAATGCGCAGAAGAAACAACATTTTGAAACTTTGATGAGCGCATCGTGTAGAGCTCGCCTAGAGGAATAGACGGCCGTATCGTTCGCCTTCAACATACATAAAATGACGTCGCAACGCAGTTTATTGCGAGATTCGGGGGGGGGGGGTTGCTTATGAGACCCCTGGGTCCCGCCATAAGGTTCACATGTCGCTTTGACAAATACTCACATCCACCCAGTCCGATTCCCGAGTCGATCGACGTCTCGTATCGAGATTCGATTCGATAGCGGAATATTGTTCTCGTCTCGTTTCTTCCCTGCTCGTGTGTCCCGTTTCTCGTTCTGCCCAGAAATTGTACAATTCGCTCAGCCGCCCTCAACGTGACGTCACGGCGTGTATGATTGGCACACACAATTCGGGTTTTACAAGCACGACAGTCGATGCGTGTTATCCCGAGGGCCGTACATATGTTTTAAATGTATTATCATTGAAAGTCGCACCATTCATTTGCTTACGCCAACGCGGCTGGACAGCACTGGTCTGGAAGGCCAATGGAGGCAAATGGACCAAAACACGTGTTTATATTTGTGTCGGAAGAGATGAAGATCACTTTCATTGTTTATTAGACAATCTACCCATCAATCAAGACCTCGACAATGCACCTCCCTGCCGACTCGAGTCCCGATCCCCACCCCCTTTCTGCTTTCATCGGCCTCGACTCTCGCCCAGATCCGGGCAGAACGCTGACTGGTGGAACCATCAACCGCATCACAACATCAACAGGCCGATGCGCAAATCTCCGTGAATGGAAAATTAAAAACACGAGGCACAGCAGTGCGATTGTGGCCATTCAACACATACCATGGACCGTACAGTAAGCCACTGTGGTCAGCGCACCTTCGACGGGGGAGGGAACAGCAAAACGACACGAACTCTCTCTCCCCTAAAGCCCTCTCGTCGTGGTGAGCGGACATCGACATTGAGCTCCTGAACATATCGTTGTCATTCGCAAGCATATAATAGCAGGTGAGAGTCCAATCAGACGGACATCTCTGTTGCAATAGGGGAGGGCATTGGCAGACGCGCACGTAAAAATGCGAGGTATTTGTGTTACGTTTCGGGATTCCGTCTGCAGACGGCGAAGAGGGTGGCGCACATGGTGAGTCACACGCAGAGACAGGGGGGTGACACGGGGAAAGAGAAAGTGCACGGGGAGGGGGGGGGGGATAGAGATGCTGGCAGAGAGAGAGAAAATAATCGGGGCAGAGAGATAGAGGTCATGGGGGGAGATAGTCGTGGGGAGAATTGACAGCGGTGATGGTGGTGGAGAATTAAATGAAGAACTTTTTACAATTTTATACTTTCTAAAACTAAATTGGTGTAGGTCAATCAGTTTCAAAGTCTGTGCGTACATTATCAAAGCAGGTTTAGTTGCTTGTTTAACCACAAGCACGTGTGGTTAATGTACATTTGCAATGGGTGCCTCTTGGGTGTTTGAACATCTTAGTACCTCCTGAATTATTGCCAGAAAGGGTAACAGCCTGTTCTGTTTTCATAATTTTGATACTGGCAAAACGTGTTTTATAGATATTTCTTCAATTTATGCTTTTGCTGTATTCGTTTTGGGCGGTATGCCAGGGTGGTGGTGGTGATGGTGGAGAGTCATGGACAGAGGTCGGCAACGAAAATAAGTAGATAAAAAAACATTCGAATTCGGTGATAAAAAACCCCCTGTCAATATTTCTAGAGTCGCATTGTTTCAACGTGAATACGAGACGGGTGGTGGCCCTTAATAAAAAAAGGTCACGAAGCATTCCTTTAAAGAGCCGCATGCGGTTCCAGAGCCACATGTCGCCAACCGCTGGTCACTCATGGGGGGGGGGGGGGGGGGAGAGGCGCGTGCTTCCTGGGTGGGGAATGTGGCACACAGGGTGGCTGTCGGTGTCGACCGCGTCCGCGGGGTGACTTTGAGCAGCAAACACTTGCCACATGCGGGGTCATCCGAGCCGGGCGGGCTGTTTGCGATGATGCTGTTTGTTACCGTCGGACTGATGCACGAACGCCTTCTGCCAAGGTCTCCCGTGCAAGCAAAAAAAAACAACGCACATTGCTGTGTCAGGGGGCTCCCGTCCTGGTTTCAATAATGATACAGAACATGCATGCCTGCCAGTCTGTCTGTCTGTCTGTTGCCCTCGCTAACCTACTGTCTGTGTGTCTGCCTACTTGTCCGATGACGTTGTTGTTGTTGTTATTGTTGTTTGCGTAATTGCGGATGTTGTTGCTTTTGTGGGGAGCGGCAGAGTAGCGGTCAGCGCCCTGCCGCAACGAACCCGGCGACCCGAGATCGATTCCCGCTCACGGCCACCAACACCGGCGACGATTGTCTGAACCGGTCCTGGGCCTCCCGATAGGTCTACTCAACCTCAAATGAGTACCTGGTGCGGTGTGTAAAAAAAACATCGTCACTAGGGAGACAAAGGCGGCCGGGTGTAGTGTTCTGGGTAACCCAACCTATCGCGTGATGTGCCGGCTTTCTTAGGTACCGGCTAACAGCACTCGCCCCAACAACTCTGTCCAGGCTATACGGGGAGGGGGGGGGGTGGTCGTTGTTGTCTTTGTTGTCAGGAGGCTTGCGCACAGCGCGTGACACGTGGTGGTTGGTTAGTTCAACTCGTCAATTTACTCGTCCGTAATAAATTGGCTATCTGTTGCACGGAGCCATTCGCATTTTTTTAAATATATATAGCAGCGTCGTGCGGTCATGTTCGTCACAGAATATGACCGGGACAAACACATCAAACGGGCAGGAAGACGCAGACACATCTACAGCAACCACCAACAACAACAAAAAACCGCGCGTAAATCTACAAAGATATCCCTAACAGCCTCTTTCTATGAGGCTGAGCACAGGCCCAAAGCGACGAACGGTCAGCAACAAACAGCCCTGTCAATGTTGTAATAGATTAGGGATGTAACACGTTTCTTTGAGCTAGGTAGCAAGAGCTTCAGAATCAGAATATTGTAAAATCTTGACTTAAAGCTTTCGTGACTGCAAGAGAATTTTTTTTTTACAGAAAACTACGACGTTTCGACGACCGCTTGCGTTGCGATCGAAATTTCGTAGTTTTCTGTTATTTTTTATGATTTTCTTTGAACCTATATACGTGACTTTACCGAAAGACCCAAGAACAGAATATTGTATTTATGCTGGAGAAATCCGACGCGCTATGAAGCTCTTTTTCACAGACGTCCAGTAGAGCTTTAGAACAGACACAATGGGATGCGGTGGTGGTTGGACGAGTCCTCAACATGGGTGGTGGAATACTCAACGGGAACAACAGAAAACGATTGTAGGAGCGATAGAAGAGTGACAAGTACGTGACTGACCGCCGGCGGGCGAGTGACTGCTCCGTCTAGAATTAAATCGAGGGCAGTGGGGCAGGGACTGAGTGCTCCACCCCCCCCAGATACAACAGCAGCAGGATTCCAACTTTGGCCGTGTGCTTTGTATAGCAGCAGTAGCTTGAAGAAGCTTTAGCACAGAGACGGAAACCACGCTTATTCAATGCCTCCGAAGCCAGATCAGTGTCACACTCGCTCTACGACAGCTCATATGAGATTATTGTGCCAAGTGGACTGACGGAGTGACTGTGGATAACAGCATCAGTGTCGCTTGCAATGGGAGGAACTGTGGCATTGCCAGCCTCTCACGCGATCATTTCATTGGATGTGAGTTTCGATTTTAATGTGACCAGGTGTTCCTCGCCGCAATCAATAATTATATTAAAACCCGTGGTGATTGCTCGTGCGGTGTTTGCGAGCTGTCTATTAGTTTCAGCTTGCGATTTTAATTACTATGATGCATGAAGCAATACCACAGCTGTCAACCCATCACGGTTTACCCGTATTATTGTACAGGGAATTTGAGCTTTTACATATTTTTGTTTGTGTTTCTCCCTTGTGATGGGACATTGTAGAAAAAACTTTGAGATGTATAAGGGCACGCTCGGGATGACCAATAAGGTCTGGATTGGTATGTAATAAGGTAGGGCACTGATAAGTGTTCGACAGGTAATGCAATACTGGGGTAAGTACTGTTACTGGTAGGAACGAAGTTGTAAACTGAGTGTACCAGCCTGCAATAGATTAA